AATTATTTTTCAAATATAAAAGTAATTTCTAAATCATCCAAAAATTTGTTCAGATCGGTTTCTTTTCTTAATTTTATATTTTATCGTTAAGACAATTAAAATATACAAATGTAATTTAACGAAAATAGTCAAATATTGATATTGAGAGACTACATTTTTCTAGGCAGGGGTTGGCCGTATGGTGGAGCTCTGGATATCGGAGCTGGCGAGTCGGGTTTGAATCTCTGCGGTACCATAAAATGTTCCTCACAATAAACGTTGGGTGCGTTATAACAATTACGTTCAATCCGTTAGCAGTGGAGAATGGGTGGTAGTGTGCTACTTCCTCTGGTCAGTAGCTCCAAATTAGAGATAGTGATAGTCTTAGTAACTTTGCCAAAAATACAAATGGTTTTTTAAAGAGAATGATTTAATTGATACAATTCTTAAGAAAAAGTTTAATAAGAAAAACTTATTTAATTTATCATCATCCTCTCTTCACAAACATTCTTTTAAAAAGATTTTGTTTCAAAAGAGTGCAAAGAGTTAAGAGCGATTAATATATGTAGGGACTGGTAACCATTTTTTATATGTAAGTATTTTCACGCACATCATTTAAGCTACGACTTCTTGCAGGCATTATGTGTTAGATTGATAAATCCTGGTCTATATGAGAAAAAAAAAGCGTTCTGACAAACTCACTCATGTAGACGTAATTTTATGTAATAAAACTACACGTAAACACTAAAGTAATGGTATTTGTAACAGTGTAGATTATGAAACAATTATGAGCATCAGTGTATGACACGGTTTCATAATGTTGCGTCAGCGAGATCACGTGACTAGTATTACGCCACCCGTTTTCTAGAACTATCCTGTTCCTTCGGGAGTGCTCTAGCATTTACTAGATTGGGGTGTTCTGGTATATATAAGATGGTCACGGCGTGACAATGTGTCTAGGTAGTGAGTAATTGAACTGCAGTCAGAAAGTATTGTTGAAGTTAACGTTCGTTGTTATAGCGTTTGTTATAGAGCGACTGTTGAAAATATGTGTATCGGTAAAGTTATATTCAGAAAGAATAAACCAGTTTTATTAAGAAAGGACTTGTGTCGCTAAAGTTTCGTGGGAACGAAGTTACGGAAAATTAATTAACAAACGGAGACGTAACAATAAGTTGAAACTCACAAAAACGAAGAATAAATTACGTAGTAAAGAAAAAAGTAGCTAAAAGATGTTTATAGCAGTCTATGAAACAAACCGAATCTAACTGGTGTATTTAAGTGTTTTACACTCACAAAAAAGAAACCTATCATTCTAGATGTATTTGAAGAACTTTTAAAATTTCGCTACAAT